CCCTAACTTTGATGGTTAATACAAAATTGGCCTCGCAAAACTTATTGGTAGAATATCGATATATAAAGTCCCTCTTTATATTTTTTTCTGAATGCTAGGAATACCGAGCGAGATATATCGCGCAAATTACACTATGCCTGTGTGATTCTCCGCGACCATTCAAATGTCCTTCTTGTATGCTGAACAGACGATTGACGAATGAAAAACGTATACAAGCAGAACCTATGTAATGGTGTTCCAGTAAATAACAATATCCGTGGTTACAAAGATGTCGTTATTTGTGGCTAACGAGTGTCCTGTGGCGGTAGAACTTTGTGGAAGAGACCCCCCGTGTGGACGATTCAGGCCTTTTGGGGTCAGTGGCGACACTTTCGGGATTTATCTAATATTATTTATAGTTAACAAATTGCCACAGAATCGAAGTTTTTCATAGAGCCACGGGCCACAGCTGACTGAAACCGTTTATAGTGTCAGGAGCAATGACAAACTCGTGACTTTAGCTAGAAAGTCATCGAATGATCACTAGTATGGGTTATCAGTGACATACTGACTACCACTGGTCAACAGGTGGTGCTTAAGATATATCAGATCTACTTTGTCAATCAGAGCTGCTTCCCGCACGGGTATTATGTAAAAAACCTATAAAACGTCAAAAAAACCTATAAAATGTCATCTTGCAGACTAGGTATAGTTTTCAGGGTACAAACAGTCACTCCACGTTTGCTCACGAGGATCATTGTGAGCGTCCATCTATGGAGGAATAACTCAACTACACGCATTGTTGGTTGCATATTTTTTGTGAAGGCGAGTAGTCTGTAGTTTTCATCTCTGAGAAGAAAGTTGTTTGAATACCAAGATCGCATCTGGATGACTATGTGTATTGGTCTGCATGTGTATAAAATCAGTGTATTAGCTGTGTGAGGGAATCATTACTGGATATGCTGCCAATCATGTATATCTATTAACTGTGCCCGATGGGTTATTTATATATAGTCTTTTCTGAAGTTATAAATTACGATTTTTTACGTTTTTTGTATTCTCAAAAACTTTGAGGAGAATTACGGGAAATCACCACCGCGCCCGCGTTGTGTGTTATTACTGTTAGCATATATATGACTTGTAATTCGACAGTGTACAGTGAATATAGTTATTTCTTATCTCTCTCATTTTTGAAATTCAGCAAATTTGCATATGTAATTTCCAGAATGGAGATATATAGCGAGAGCCCCTCGTATATCTTCCTAATCGGTGTACTTATATCTTATCTGTAGTAAACAACCCTATGTTATATGTTGATGGTTGTGCCCTTCAGGCATCAGTTTACTCCTATTACTCTTCAATTGAACTCACTTAGGTTAGGTTTGCTAACATACCGTTGTTAGTCGAAACATTGTATTTATATTAGAATAAAGTATCAAATCGCTTGTAAGTCGTTTTTTAAAAACGCGATTCCGCGACGCGATACCATCATTATGGATAAAAAAAGTGAATGCGCAACCAATTTTTGGCTTTGAATCTCAAGTAAGTGTATTTGAGACAAGAATCCAATGATTTATCATTAACACATATTATTAGCACACAAATCCTTACTGTGTACCTATGCATTGCCGTTTTCTGGTAGATCTGAAGCAGATTTCACATCACATCAGAGCCACACATTGACAACTGAAGCATCATGACGTTTAGGCAACACGTACAACTACAGAACGAGTCCACAAATCTGGCAGAAAAACCTACATAATGTCACAAAAGACCAATATAATGTCATAAAAATCGACATAATGTCACTTTTAAAGATACGTAATACCCGTGCCGGTAGTTTTGGTCTATAGAGTTATAGAGGGTGTTCCAGAATAAAATTTTAATCTCTCGGAAGCATACAGAGATACAGGCCTCTAAAGGACGTTGCTGGAAATTGATTTTATTGATTAAGTCTTGGAAGCAACGGTATAATTCAACAAAATGTTGACAGGTTATTAACCAACTAGGTCCTCACATAACGGTTCTTATGGAAACTGATTAGATCATTTAGATGGCCAGGGACAGACAAGCCCTGACGAAATATTGCTGATTTCGGGTGAATGGAAGAGCGGATCATTCTATACGGTAGTAAGATCCAAATTCTGCCATTTGTCAGGAAACTAGTTAGAATTTGTTAAAGTTCTATGTATTTTTGTGTGTGCTTACCTTGGCAATAAAAACCATTAAATATTATTATTATTTTTACTTTCTACGCCACTGGACGAGGCAGTTTTGCAATCTCGAAAAATTTCGAAAATGTGAAATTATGTTTTTAGGATGTTATATTATATGACATGCACATCACGAAAATCCATGTCACTCATTCCCGTCGGTCCGCTTGACTGTCGGTCTTGCGATCTGTCGGTCTGTCGCTCTGTCGTCTCACTGTCTGTGTGTCGGTCTGTCCGGTAATCCTTGGCCCCTCTATAACTTGGGTTTGGATGATATTTTTACACAAGGTGACTACTACGCCAGGAACTTATTAGCCATATTTCGCACGTCATGGCAGATAAAAGTCTTCGATACTCGTCTTCTGTCATCTGGGCTCAGTTCCCGACGTAACGGTCAGTGTGATTGTTCTGCTCGTATTGCAGGGGTGCTTGGGTGGGCACCGTCGCATCTGACGATATGCGAAGAGGCAGCGTTGCCAGATGGACAATAACTACCGGTGCGGCAGAGAAAGAGTATTCATGGGCTAATTGAATGGACCTGTTTGACTGACTTGATTTTTTTTATCAGAGGGATTAACTTATGATGCACTTAATTATTTATGTACTAACGACAGCGTTCCGTATGACTGCAGAAGTCACACTACTTGTCGCCATTTTTTCACTCTATGTATATAATAACTTGAAATTGATATTTCTGAAAAGCCTAAACATTTATCTGAAAAATGTACTCTTGCCTTACCTTTTATGGAAACACAGTTACAGTATAACACAATGTTACTAACCTCGCGTTTGGTAAACTAAAAATGCGGCAGCTCTAATCAGCGACACGAAAAACCTTTAAATTTTCTCCTTCAAAAAGTGTTCGTTTCATCAAAATCAAAGAAAATAATAAATCACATACATTTTTCAAACTTAACAGTTAGGCTTTCCAAAAATTAATTTTAGGCTAAATATTATAAAGGGTGTTAATAAATCAATAATACTACGTTAACGCTAGTCCGTCCCTGATGATGTAAGTGCTTTGATTGTTTTACATGGACGTCATAATGTCAGCATTTAACTGGTTACGGGTTTGTCAAGAATCGGTTGAAAAAGTTAGTTAAATTACTGAGTTAGTCTGAATTACTCAACTGTGGGCTAATTACGTAGCTGCCAGTCTAGCATCGACAATCCTCATAATCCTGACTCAAATGTCAATATTTACTATAACAACTGATTCACTGTGCGAAGAAAACATCGATCAAAAAAATAATTAAGCGGTCTTCTTGAAAAATCATCCAGGTAACCAATTTCGATATAATGAAAAAGGATTTGGATGAATAACAAACATTTACGACATCATTCAAGCAGCAGGTAGTCTGTATCTGAGTAAAACGGTGTTATGTGATCTGAGTATCTCAAAGTATGGTCAATATCTGTTATGCATCTATAATATCGCTGTCCAAAGATTAACTTGTAGAAAAAAGTTTCACTTTACAGACAACATAGTTTCCGGTGGAATCCCTCTAAATCCAAAGTTATTATTTGTTCTCCTAAAAGTGTAAGGTGTGAAAATAATTTGAACGATCATGCTATTCAGATAGAAGAATCAGTTAAGAATTTTATAAATGTCAGATTTATTTCTCATATGAATAATGTAAGTAAGAATTATTTTACTGTTTTACAACACCTGTACTTGAAAAATTTACTTGATTTTAAAGCAAAAAAAAATATACAATTTAATCATGTCAAAAATAACATACAGCGATCTAGTACACTATCCATTTCTAGACTCAGTTTCATCTAAACGTCTACAAAAAAATTCAAAATTCATGCTGTAGAATAATTTTCAATTTCAAGAAGATATGGTTATATTAGTTCATGTTTCGAACAGCTGAAGCGGTTGAATATTGCAAAGTTGTAAACATTTAATTTGTTATTCTACAAACTTCGGTTCTTTCATTTTCGGAAAAGAAATTGATATCACGTGGGTATATCCACTCATGAAATATTCGATTCACTGACACTTTGACTATGCCTCTTATAATGCATTACCATCGACTGCTAAATATCTTGAATTTAATAATTACAAAAAACATATAAACAAATTATCTTTGATGCTCAAATCTGCATTAACTCTCGGTATATAGACCCTCTATTATAAATCCTTTATAGTTTTTTTTTTACACACATGTATATGCTGTAGTCAATTTGTAATTATCATTTCAATTTTGGAAGAATACTCTGTACAAATTTTTTTGAATATTCTAGTTTTTCAAGAGCGAAGTAGTGGAAGTATAGCAACCTAAATAATGTCGTCATAAATGTAATTTTGAGAGGTGAGCGTGGAAGTACTCAAGAATAAGAATTGTAATAAGACAGTGTTCAAGGTTTAATATTATGCCGCTTCTATACGGGCGGTATTTTTACCGCATTATCGAGCTACAATAAATTAGTTAGCAACATAAGGCAATATTTCTAGTAAGACTTGGCTATATTTCTACTCTTTTTTGGCTTTGGCGAATTATCGGAGTAGTACTTAATGTAATGTAACTTGAGTAACGCAAGGAGCTACGACGCGTACAATTTTGTATGTAATTCCTGTCTTGTAGCCCTTATAATGTTAAATTTTGAATAGTTTATGTGTCTACACACTACTGAAAATATTTCCAAGATATAGAATATATATAACTGATTTATTCGAGATATTTGGACGGATATATGCTGCAATACAAGGTCATAATGGCCATGCTATTGCGAAATATCGCCACAAAAGTATTGCTCGTTTATATGCTCCATTTATACTAGTGACAGAACAAGTATACTTACTTGAAGTGGATACTTTGAGAGTCTACTGTCTCTTCTGAGCTGTGTACCGGAGGTTTGAGTGCTGCTTACAGTTGCAAGTGTTAGTAATGTCATCAACCTGAAACAAGGTATACTGTCAATTAAGTGCTCATATGGTGTCAATTGAATGGTTTGGCGCAACAAGAGACATCAGCCACATTCGAATACAAATTTACATTTTCATTCAAACACATCAGTACTGAGGTTACCTATGTCCCGAATTGATTTGTTTGAAATTTCGTTGATAGATTTCACTATAATTCCTAGAGGGCATTTTTGACAGTTCCATATGTTCTACACATTTTTACACTGAAAAGGACGAGCAGTGGAGCGACTTTCTGGCGGGATGCTTGAATCAAGTGTTCCTCTCTGGAAAGTGGCAAAATCGCTCAGAATAGTCCTGGAGACATAGTTTCCAGGACTGAGCATAAAGTGGAGGTTTTTGCTGACGTCATGGAAAGGCAGTTCTCTCCCAATAATGATCTGGACAATGACCTTGACTTGGAACGACAAATTGTAGGATCTAGGAGATATTTCAGAGCGAATGGAGACAACAACATCAGTGCTAACATCGGTGACTTCTTTTCAGAAGATTCTTCTGCGGAAGACTGTTCAGATGAATCTCACATAGCATATCAAGAAATCCTCTGAGATTCCATTTTGCACTCCAACAGAGCTCCAAGGTATTTGAGTAAAGCATATCAAATCATCCGTGGCGTATTTACGACGTCGTTATAATTTCCAGACCGCGTTTTTAACAACCACTATATCCCATACATTTTCATGCCAAGAAAGCTATAAGCCACTTAAATTCCAAGATGGGAGCCAAGCGGATATTCGTCGACAGATTGTGAAAGAATGGATGGTTCAATGGTAGATACAAAGAACAAACAAGGTTCTGGATTTAGTCCAGTGCTGCTTGCGACTCTGGTAAGTCAACCGCATAAATAAATTTGTCGCTTTTGACTTTACTGCCATACTAGATGTGGCATATGCTTTTGTTACGTAGGAAAACTATTTTTTGTATTAGTTTCACAATACCACTAGATAATAATTTCAAGCCTTCTGTTTATCAGAATCTATCATGATCATTATTGAGAATGACTACCTCAGGCCGCAAATAACTTAAATTCGCTCCAATAATATATAATTTTGTGATAAGTGGCGTCTGCCCATCTTGATCAAATAAATTTATCTTGCTTGTGACCCTCTTCAGTCTTCAGGGACATTCAATGTTTTTTTCAAAATAGAGAAGGCATCTGACGCAGTCCTAATGGAGAAAGAACGTTAGCGTATATAAGGAGTCTCTCAAATTTAAGGAGGGTTCAGACGCAAGAGTAAAATGAACAGTTATATGTTTATGAGGCAAACGATTTTTAATTACCCTTGGAGTACAACTTTTTTTCGATAAAGCATCAAGCCAGTATTTTCAAAAAATAATTTATTTGATAAAAATGCATTATATTTTCTCGATACTGTTGCAATTTAATCAAAATTTGTTAATTTTACGATAATGTGATATATTTCTCCGATTCCCTTGTCATCAAATCTATGTTCTTCACAATGTAGAATTATTGCAGCATTTCAATCGAAATTAAGCAAAAAACATGATTTCAGGATATACGTATTAGATTTCTCAAAATAAATTCATTGTGGATTAGGCATCTTGTTGGACTTATAAAAGGGCTAAGAAGCAACTTGTCTTATGTCAGAGAGAAAGTTGTTTTTTATACTGGAGCCGATGAAAAGGCATCGCTTGTGTATTTAAGTCCAAATGGACGACCCATCTGCAGTCAGAAGAGTACTACGTACTCACCATGCTACCAGCATTGACGTACTATGCAAAAGATGCATAAACTAAACACAAGCTGAATGAGATAAGTTTACCTTCCGTCTCTGTGGCCGTACCCAAGCTTATACAGAGCTGCTTCATGCTTTTTAACAGTTATCAGTATGGTAAAACATAAAATACCGTTGTATATGGTCAGTCAGACAGAGAGAGTGAGAGAGAGAGCAAGCAAACAGATCATGTAAAGCTTGTTAAATAGACGTGACAGGACTCTTCAATTCAATGGCCGGAGGCAAGAAACTATGTACGAGTATATCCAAATTCTTACTCTTCGCAATATGTGACAGTAGACCTGAGTTGATGCAATATCTACAACTTGTATTAATTTTCTATACCTCCCTGCTCATGTAACTTCAATTCGTCATAAACAGTAAGCCGTTAGAGAAAATTATATTTACACATACCGTAATGCTCACACAGTTTCGCCGCCTCGGAGGGCAAGCGAAGGTGTTTTAATACTTTACAGAATCAATTAGCAGCGTGATTAATCGCTTTAGCCATTAAAACCGGCACATTCAGAATTATTTAAGTATTTCGTTATTTCTTTCCCGAAGACTTCGTAATTGCTCTCCACATGCAACTTCAAGCAAGGTGTACAGATAACAAATAGCAACATCGCTTATTTGTCAAACCATTTCGTTTTCACTAAGCTTTTCTTATAACCAAAGGCTTGAGGTAATCTTAAGTTCAAAAATATCTGCCCGCAAATTCCAGCTAAGACGTGAAAATACACACACCGGTCTGTTTTCTCTCATCGCGTTCTGTAGTGTTTGCTTAAAAATAAATCCGAAAAAACCCAAAATTGCACACTCCTATGGCAATAAGAAAGTTGTCGATATGGTGCTAACTTACACAGAGTGCTATTCAGCTCTGCTAAATAGGATTCAAATCTCATTAACTCCACGTCAAAACAAACAGCAGCGCACGGCGTGTAAATTCGCCAGCTCCTCTGCCCAGCGGGCCACGAATGCCCGAGCAGGCAGCAACAAGCGAATAAAAGGGATGATCGAGTGCTCATATTTGTTTTGACGCGAGTAAATGAACTTTGAACGCTGGTGAGCTTACTCCTTATATTCTGTATACTCTGCTTCAAGACCGTTCTCCACGGATATTAAGAGCTCATTGCTAGGTTCCATTCTTACCAAATGTTCAACGAGAGGAAATTAGTAACGTTTTGTAATGGTACGTGTTTGACAGTGCTGTTGAACCCGAGAGCTTTATATGGGAAGTATGATATCAATAGCTTAGTGTTTTGAGTACCAGGTATAAAGTGATTACATACAGTTTGAAACGTTAATCTTCCGAAAATTTAAAAGTGAGCTTAAGTTTTGTTCTTGACTCATAAGTGGTCAAACTTGGATATCTTCCATAGGTTTGAATGGACTGTTAAATAGTCATCAAATTATAAGATCATTGCTGAATTATTTCTTATTTAAGAATAATAATTAGTTAACACGCTTTTATCCGAGTTTATCTAAGCTCTATATCCATAGTTCTCTTTATACCGAAGCTGCCGCCCAGACAGATGCCTAAATGCCACCGCGGCTGCTACGCGGATACCAAAGAAATTTTGAAAATCAGATTTTTGAACTGCCTAAGGTTAACAGAACTGAGAAAGACACCCTCTTGTAGATTGTCTCACAATCTCGACACCCTTGAAACAAAGGAGCGGTCGTATCGGCCAGTTCTGAATGTACGAAGTTCGACACGGTTAGAATAAGAGGCCAAATCCAGGCGGATCTGTTTGGCAGGGACAATGTGCGTCGGCGTCATGAACGAGAGCTCTGAGGAGCAAAGCCTGTTGTTGTAGCGATAGAAGAGAGCTAGATCGCCGGCGCGAAAGGGTCCCGAGACTGTCTGCTAGAGAAGAGTCATCGATCTGTCGGACAGACCTCCTCTGGATATCATTGAGCATAAGTTGTGTAGTCGGGGTGCAGTACTCGAAGCTATATCTTATCTCGGCCTTGCTTAGGGTGAGGAGGTCATGCGGAGAAAAGTACTTCTCAGCCCTAAACAAACAACCTAGCTTTTTCCCAGCAGCTGACGCTATTGACGAGATGTGTTCGGGCCAGACCAAGTTCTCGGTGATCTGGACTCCGACCAGCCAAAATCAACAGCACTTTGGCAGAACTCGGCCATCCATCGAAACTGCTAGAACGCTTTTTGTTCGTCAAGGTACAGTCATATGTTTTGGAAGCATTAAACTAAACAAGATCATTGCGTCCCCAAGCAGTGATAACCTCCAGCTCTCTCGTTAGAGAGAAAGCCGCTGCTAGTCTTCTTTTTTCCAGCTCACCGGCATAGATCGGCTTGTCGCTCTGAATTCCTGCAAATCTGTGTATTGGATTGATCGTACAGGAAAGGAGGTCGTTGATCAATCCCTGGGGAACACCCGCGTTGACTCTGTGGAATGAAGAGGAAAACCCGTCATTTACGACGGATATCTTAAGGCCAGAGAAAAATTCAACCACCAGTCTACAAAGCTTGTCTGGGATGCCAAAGGATGGTAGTTTTCATAAGAGGGCGAGTGCCATAGATAATCAAACACTTTCGTGATATCAGGAGCAACGACATGAGCCTCACTATGTTAAGTAACATTCAGTCATAAGACCGCAAGACTCTTGTTGCTGGACAGCAACAAAGCTTCTGGTCCTGACTTACAACTACCTATCTATATATATAGCTCTGCTTTCTGTCATTAGCAAGGTGACGAAGAAGTACATAAATAGGGAGTTTCAAAAGTACCTCAAATTCTACAAACGTCCGTCATGCAATTGAGATGTAAACTCATTCAGCCACAAGGTGCGGCTCGTATCTTGATTGATTTTCCTCTTCTTCCAACAATATCAACCCAAGGATCGAACTTATCACACATCATCTTTTGCAGGATCAATCCCATCCACAGCTTTGCCCATGACAGCTTTGCCCATGACACGCAGGCATTTAGTGTCACAATCGGATCTCTGTTAATGAACTGGAGACTAGCGACTTCCTCTCTGATGGAAGATCTGGAAGTAGACGCCGCTAAGGCCCAACAATCTGGTACAGTTGTATTCTTCCAGAACACATTTCGGCTGTTCGGAGTCCAGATCCCCGAGGACTTGTTTTGGCACGAACACATTTGGTCAATCACAAGGGCTGCTTGGAAACAGCTGGGTTATTTGTTTAGACCTAAGAAGCACTTTTCTCAGCATAACCTCCTTACTCTTTAAAAGGCCGAGATAAGACCTAGCCGGTATCACCGCTCCATTGTTCCCAGGGTATCGAGATTGTGGAACAATCTGCCTGAGGACGTTCTTCTTATAACCTCAAACTGTTAAGAAATAAGTTTCTTATAGCAATCGCGGTGCTCCCGTATTAGGATTTTGTGTACGGGGCTGCTTCCGCATAAAAAAATCGACAACAGTGTAAACATTAGTTTACATAGATCATTTAAGTCAATGGAAGAAAGCGAACTCAGATCGCCTGTTGCTTAAGAACAGAGTATCTAAGTAAAATTTTGAGAACATCAACATCACATCATAAGCTAGAATTCAAATTTAGGGGGTCGCAAAATAGGCCGTAATTACGGTTTCTTTTTTTCATTGATCTAGAAAATTAACCTTTCGGTTTTTCTTCAGATCATCGTTTGAATCACTGTCTCGAAAGTTGAATTGAAAATGAGCAGTAGAAGACGCAGCAGCAATCAAACAATCAAAAGTTACCACAACAATCCTCATCAGCGGTCAGTGATCGAGAAACTGAAAAATGAACACGCACGAAACACAGTAATACAAGTGACTGGTACACCAGCAACTTCAGACAAAGACACTAACGAAAGCGAGATACTGCATTACTATGATGAATTCTACCATACCACCAAAAGTTTGCTTGTTATGTTTCAAGTCATGGGGGTTATGCCTATTGAGAGAGAGATCGGTAAAACTAATTACAGGTAGCTAAAAATGTGGTGGAAAAACATGATACTTGGGCATTGATGTTAATGTCCGGACAACGACGTTAATCCCATTTTTTCTTGGATAGTATCATTGATAAACAGGAGTTAGGCTGGTATCCACTGCGGGCGGGTAATGTTAATATTTTCATATTAAGATCTTTGTGGAGTCATTGACTATAATGATCAAGAAGAACTGGGCAGTGTTGATATAAGAACAGGCATATGAAGATTATTACAATATTTGCAGTACCTAACTTAAAGTAAGATGATTCTGCACTTTCCACGCAACGCCGTCATCAGTTTATAAAGAATTATGTCCAGCACATGTGAAAAGAGTTAGTTACGAACATTTATAACAGCAAAATTGAACGGATCAAGTCAATAAGACAGGCCTATATAACTAGTTCATAGACATTCTTTCTCTACCCTATCGCGTATAGAATACATTTTTTTATGTTTCAAAGCATTGAAATATGTCTAACTGATGCGTATAAATATACCTACATCAATAAATTGAGGTATCCCCTTACCACTCCCTACAAAAACTTCTAAAAATAATCAGGAGTCTCTTTCTCAAAAACAATGTTTGAGTGATTTATATTTTTCATTTCTTGTCTGTCTGTCTGTCGGCCTAACGGTCAGCCTGTCCGCAAACCCTTGGTCTCTCGATGATCTGGGAAGTACTGCTCGGATTTGGATAAAATTTTCACATAAGATTACTACTGTGCCAAAGACGAAGAAGCTTGGTAGTTTTTGAAAATTGGTCTAGTTGGGGTGGATAAAAATGACAAAAGCGAGGAATATAAAAAACGTCTCAACTTCGTATTTTGTAGTCTCTGATGATGAAAAAGTGGACAGTAAGGAGTTGTAGATCATTGTACACACCTACTAAAAATATTTCAAACAGCATAGAGTCCCCTACATTTGCCCTTGGAACGATGGAGCAATGTTTTCGACCCGCGTCCCAGCGTCTGGCTTCACGACCTGTGCGACGTACCGCTCTTCATAGGTGTCCTCACATGGAATATTTGCTTGTCGGACTTGATCCCTCTTTGCTATACATGCTCGCAACTCACGCTTACCTCCGAGGGTCTAACTTATACATGGTGCTTTTGTCTATCCGACCAAGGATAGCCAACCATGGACAGCTGTTTCGTGCTTTTTTTACAACTCATCAGCATAGTCTAGGCTTGATCTCAGGGCTAGAAACGAAAGCGCAACAACTATCCTCTATCCAGGATGTAAGGTCTATGGCGTGCTGTCTTATTTGGATAAGGTCTAACTTATGAACTGATGACGGCGTTGCGTGAGAAATACAGTCAACCTACTTGACACCGTTTCTTACAACTTATCACTGTTCGCTGTAAATCAGCGACTCATTTCGTCAGATTCTATTTTGATATTAGTAGTAAAATAATCATTATGACTGATCATGATCAGTCGCTGTTTAAAAATGCCAAACTAGACAGGGCATATCGTCATTGATCGGCTAATAACGTTATTTCCTGGTTTTTCGTATCAGATATATTGGCATGTAAAACATAAATGTTCACTTTCATATCCATATTATATTCAATTTTAAATGAACCATCCATTTCATAGTGGAACAGACAGACATGCAAATATCTTGAAGAGGGGTTGTTAGTCGAGATAAGCCTAGGGTAGCTTTTTTACACAGAAATATTCATTAAATTTAAAAATATTTTTAAAAACAACTGACCATTTAGCTGTTAGTGAAGTGCATTGAAAATTTAAAAATATTTTTGGAAAATATTTAATCTAAATTTTGATAATAAGAAGACGTGACGTGACACCATTCTTTCATCTTGCTGTCAAAGCGAACACCTTTTTATTTGCAAATTTGAGATATCTGTAAATCAGCGACTCATTTCGTCAGATTCTATTTTGATTTTAGTAGTAAAATAATCATTATGACTGATCATGATCAGTCGCTGTTTAAAAATGCCAAACTAGACAGGGCATATCGTCATTGATCGGCTAATAACGTTATTTCCTGGTTTTTCGTATCAGATATATTGGCATGTAAAACATAAATGTTCACTTTCATATCCATATTATATTCAATTTTAAATGAACCATCCATTTCATAGTGGAACAGACAGACATGCAAATATCTTGAAGAGGGGTTGTTAGTCGAGATAAGCCTAGGGTAGCTTTTTTACACAGAAATATTCATTAAATTTAAAAATATTTTTAAAAACAACCGACCATTTAGCTGTTAGTGAAGTCAATTGAAAATTTAAAAATATTTTTGGAAAATATTTAATCTAAATTTTGATAATAAGAAGACGTGACGTGACACCATTCTTTCATCTTGCTGTCAAAGCGAACACCTTTTTATTTGCAAATTTGAGATATCTGTAAATCAGCGACTCATTTCGTCAGATTCTATTTTGATTTTAGTAGTGAAATAATCATTATGACTGATCATGATCAGTCGCTGTTTAAAAATGCCAAACTAGACAGGGCATATCGTCATTGATCGGCTAATAACGTTATTTCCTGGTTTTTCGTATCAGATATATTGGCATGTAAAACATAAATGTTCACTTTCATATCCATATTATATTCAATTTCAAATGAACCATCCATTTCATAGTGGAACAGACAGACATGCAAATATCTTGAAGAGGGGTTGTTAGTCGAGATAAGCCTAGGGTAGCTTTTTTACACAGAAATATTCATTAAATTTAAAAATATTTTTAAAAACAACCGACCATTTAGCTGTTAGTGAAGTGCATTGAAAATTTAAAAATATTTTTGGAAAATATTTAATCTAAATTTTGATAATAAGAAGACGTGACGTGACACCATTCTTTCATCTTGCTGTCAAAGCGAACACCTTTTTATTTGCAAATTTGAGATATCTGTAAATCAGCGACTCATTTCGTCAGATTCTATTTTGATTTTAGTAGTAAAATAATCATTATGACTGATCATGATCAGTCGCTGTTTAAAAATGCCAAACTAGACAGGGCATATCGTCATTGATCGGCTAATAACGTTATTTCCTGGTTTTTCGTATCAGATATATTGGCATGTAAAACATAAATGTTCACTTTCATATCCATATTATATTCAATTTTAAATGAACCATCCATTTCATAGTGGAACAGACAGACATGCAAATATCTTGAAGAGGGGTTGTTAGTCGAGATAAGCCTAGGGTAGCTTTTTTACACAGAAATATTCATTAAATTTAAAAATATTTTTAAAAACAACTGACCATTTAGCTGTTAGTGAAGTGCATTGAAAATTTAAAAATATTTTTGGAAAATATTTAATCTAAATTTTGATAATAAGAAGACGTGACGTGACCCCATTCTTTCATCTTGCTGTCAAAGCGAACACCTTTTTATTTGCAAATTTGAGATAAATGAGCTTCATTATCGTTTAAATATTTCCATCTGGAAAAGCTAATTATAAAAATTTTAATTCACTTTGTCAGCAGCTCAATAAAGCCTTGTTTTTAAGAATGTATTTTTTATTTTATTAATTTTTCACTACTTAGTATTTATGATGTCAAATAACTAGCTTGGTAATTTATATATGATTTTCATATATTTTATTAATAAGACTTCATAAATCCTGTCACTGTACTTCTAATAAATTTCCATAGATATAAATCATATAATGATAAATTCATATTGTTTGGCGATCGCCATATGGAATTCAGAACGACGTCGCTTTGCTTATATAGTGTTTCTATCATTAGGCATTTCAATTGAGACCTATATTATATGGGTGATCTCAGAAATTATAGATCGCCATTTAGCGGCGGCGGTCATATTGGATTAAGGTAGACGTCACTTTGCTTATTGTGTTTCCTTTATCACGCGCTTTGATTTCATGGCCATACCGTAGGGGTGACTATGAAAGTTATAAATCGTCATAATGCGGTAGCTGCCACATTGGATTTGGATGCCGTCACTTTGCTTATTGTTTCTCCCATCAAGCGCTTTCACTGTATACCCATATCATAGGAGTGACTACGAAAATGATGTACCATCATTTTGTAATATCCGCCATATTGAATTCAAAATAGCGGCAATCCTTTTGTACTTTAACGCCAACCAAAAAAAATTCAGCTTGATTGGTTAAGGCCAACTAGTCAAGTTGTTAATAAATATCAAACTCCACTAAGATGTACGTCTCCAATTCAGGTTGCAGACTGTCAGAACGTCTGGCGATATCCGTGTCATGCTGCAGACTTATTCCAACAAACAGGCGTTTCGGGAAACGATGAGACACATGTGTTGCAAATTTGTTGCTATGGAAACGTACCCTATGTACCTATATTTTTTAGTTGGACTTCTGCAACCAACATGTGGGCTTACTTCGTATTCGCCGCAGAAACCATATTCGTCAGCATGGTCTTCAGAGAAAGATTAAATTTAGTTATGAAGCCTGGAAAGAGATTTGACGAGTACATTTACGCTATTATATTTCTCAGCATTTTGATTCCGCACTTTCTTTTGCCAATCGGTGCTTGGACTACCGGAGGCGAGGTTGCAAGATTCAAAAATATGTGGACTAAATTTCAGGTAACTATTCATTAATTAATTATCAGACATTTTCCACTAACATAATTTCTAAAATACATGTTTACTTCCTACGCCACTGGCGAAAGGTTTTGAGAATCTTGAAAAGCCATGTCACTGGTTTCCGTCGGTCTTGGCTATCTGTTGGTCATTCACATGTTTTTGCCACTGTTGCATAAGAAGGAGTTGGTGCTTGTCTGGCAGGCTCTTCTGCATCTTCCTCAACCTTGTTTATGATCTTAGATCGTCCCTCCGAAAATAGATCACAAACTCCTATTGTGAGACTCTCAACTTTGGAGATAAGGCTCGGCTTTCCTCTCTGACACCTCCACAGTCCTGAAATGTTTCCTTTCCGATTTTTCAATCATTTCTAGTGCCCAGTGGCCCTAGACGTTGGGACCTCGATTATAATAATTACACTTGCCAAACTTTGATTCGTCGATTTGGACTACGTCGCCAGGTCCGCCCAACATATCGCCTTAATAATAATCTATTTTCATAATTAAAATGATGTAGTTGCAGCAGTGTATGTTATATTCATACAATTAGAATCATTATTCTGTGTAAACAAAAAAAATCCAGCTTATAAAGCAGTATCTTAGTATTCCCACCCAAAATGCAACTTTGAAGTTCTATAAAACAACAAGCAGAGACTTCCTCAAAGAAAAAATGATATTTTCGTACTAGTTAAATCCTGATATTTCTATTTAAAATAAGAAATATATCGATATGCGCTAAAGTATATTTCAGCCATAAGCCATAATGTCATGTCTACAAAAACGGGTATGGTGTAGACTGAAATTGATCAAAATATTGTGGAGACTGTTGGGGGGAATGTATTTCCTCATGAAAGTTTAAGCTGGCAGTGGTAGTGGGCCACCTGTGATGGTATCGACTGATCAGCTTTCGGTAATGATTGACGTATTCTATTTGAAGGTATCCATCATAATAGTGTATCCCCTCGTCCAAAAATTATCCGGGATCGAATATGACACCGTAGCGTCATCTATGAATATTTGTCACAAAAATGTTTGTTCTCTTCGCACTAATTAGAAATCCACTTTGTAAAGCTTAGTGTCGCATAGACGGCACTGTAGCCCAATATTTGTTGTATGCTAATATAGTTGACTACAGCGTTATCTTTTTGGATACGGAAATATATTATTAGGTTGGCTATCTCAGGTAGAATAAGTTAATCAATGCTTTGGGGAGATTTACGGAGGTTATTTTTTCCGTGTTTCTTGAATTGATTATCAATGCCTCGAAATGTCCACTTAATTTCAGTACAAATACTACACAATAACAGGCCACCCCGTCAAATTTCGGAACCTCACCATGATCACCTACTCTTTATGCGTAATATCCTGGGTGGTAGGAATCATCATAATGCTGGCCCAATTCTACCTGCAAGAAGACATGCTTCTTTGGCATACATTCGCATACTTCCACATCCTAGCCATGTTGAATTGCCTTTGCGCCCTATGGTATGTGAATTGTACAGCTAAAGGCAGAGTAGCTGGATGGTTGGCTGAAAACTTGCATAACGCATTGCAGTCTAGCGATCCATCTAACAGGTTGGCGGAGTACCGAGACTTGTGGGTGGATTTATCTCATATGATGCAACAGTTGGGTAAGTAAGACAACTATATGGACTCATGCGCAATACAAGAAGCCTGGACTCGCTTTTTGATGTTATGCCGACGATGGAAACGCGGTTTAACGACGCGCTGTTAAGGCGGGTTTACACGCTACGTTCTATTGTACTCTTTGTCGGGCATACAAAACGTATGACAAAACGTACGTTTTGTCCAGTGTATACACACTACGTGTTTTTCTTTCCGCTTTCTACTACAGTTCCAATCTAGACTCTTGAGCTGTGTGAAGTTTGTATAGTGAATTTTTTTAGAGACATTTTTTTATTATGGAGGAAACACAGTTGCTTTGTTTTGTTTTTTCAACAACTGAGGAGGAAATGGGATAAAGAGGGAAAACACATGATGGTCAAGGGAGTGACTTCTGAAAAGAAGCCAGTATTTTCACGTATCGTTATTGAAACAACGGAGGAGCGAACCTGATGACTGGCTCTATTATTTACGAATGGACACCTCAGCATATTGTCAACTGCTAGAGTTAGTAATAGATATTTCTGATGTCCTCAATTTTTTCAACTCTTCTGTAAACTGATCTCAACGAGTTTACTTTTTATTTGCCATCGGGTCTATTTATTTGTATTTATTTTATAAGATCCTCATACGCAACGTTTTTTATATTACGGTCACTATAGTCTTTATTTTTCACTTGTCACAAACACGGAAAACTTTTATACATTTCATTGAATTCCCAGAGAAAATCTTGGGTGCATTGCCGTAAGTCTGACATTATTAGATTGTTGGGAAAATGAAGCGAACTGAAGTGGAGCTACTCTTGAACTGAGCCAATATCGGTCGTCTTGTCTGAACATGAACATGAAAAATGATGCTTCTCCCATCAGTTTTTCAATCTGACCTTGGATTTCATTTCGATTCGACAAGAGGTACGTTTGCTGTTGACACGCCACGTTTTATTGGATAGGATTTGTTCTGTCCTACAAAACGTACAATAAGACATAGCGTGTAAACCCGCCTTTCAAGGAGGTTGGTATGAACGCGGCGTTTGGGTAACTAACACCGTAGAGCGGTGTCTCGACATCCCGGCCGCTGCCTCCCGTATTCGCAATTTCTCGACCATGCCAAAACATCCCAAGTAGCACCATAAAAACATTTGTAGTGTTATTAACTTTATTGTGGTAATGAAAACATAATGCTTTTACCTTGTAGATATACTGACAACTTAAAAAACTGTTTAGCATTCATTACCTGTTTTGAAAGATCTTTAGATTTTTAGTTCTCACACGTACCAAGGACCGATGACAATGCATTAAATTGATAACAGTTTTCCATTATCCTTATTAGGACCGCGAGGGTTGATACATTTGTTTATAGATCCTCTATAGGGGAGTAAGAGAGATAGAGCTAGCGCGCGATCTGCGCATGCGTGCAGTTTCGGACTTACACTAGGTTGGTCGGGTACTCGGCACAGCACACCGGAGGCAGATACTTTTTCAAAGTCCACAAGATTCAAGTTTGTACAGTCGATCATGCAGTCATTTATCTAGGCTCGCGACTATTTGCTGCTGGACAAGCTTATGTAGCCCTTAGTCGTTTATGATCTTTAGACGGTATTCGCATTGAAGAACTTGACTGCTCTAAGTTAACAGGAAAAAACCAACAGTGAAGCTATAAATGAAATGGTTAGGTTACGAAATGATTCGTAAAATATTTCAATACCTTATGTCCACAAAAAACTAATTGATAAATCGAGCTAAAGAACGAGTTTTAACGCATGCTTAAAATACTTAATAAGCCCGTTCCGTGCTACTGTTAGTTTTTATGCAACTTTTATGATGTTCCTCCTTTCTCGATTTTTTAACATTCTACTAATATATTTTCAGGAAAAGCTTATAGTGGCATGTACGGCATGTACTGCATCCTGATCCTTTTAACCACAATTGTAGCAAGCTATGGTTGCCTTACTGAAATCCTGGATCACGGTTTGTCCTTCAAGGAAGCCGGATTGTTCTTAATAGCCTTTTATTGCATGTCTTTGCTCTACATCATCTGCAATGAAGCACATTATACCTCACACAAAATGGGACCTGAGTTTAGAGAAAGGTTGCTTAATGTCAACTTAGGTAAGTGAATACAATTCTCTTTTTAAAAATAATAATAACGTATACTTAAACAATTACAACTATTTTGGCAAGCCATGCATAACACTTTATACATCGTCATGATTCAAATGTAGTTTAAATCAATGAAAGACTGTGATTTTCGAATCAAAAATGATTTTATGTTTTCACTAAGTCCCTGTCGACTCCTGTGTACTTGGTCCAACATTTATCAAACATCACGATTCTTTCTCGGAAGTGTAAGTCTAGAAAGATGTCAAAACTGCCATCTAAAATCCTCTCAACTTTCTGAAATTTGGGGATGTAAGCCTTGGGCATACAGTCCGTTACAGAAAAAGGTTGGAATAGAATTCTCTCGTAATTGTTCTATACTCTTCAAGGTTATCAACTAACAGAAATGCTTTCGTATCCCAAAACACACGGGCTTTGATCTTTCTTGCAGATCCAATCTAGTTCGCATCTTTGGGGCTGAACCACAGGCTTCCGTCTAGTGTTTCGGCTGCAGTTTTGATTCTGGCATAAAGTAATGGACCCACCTCACATCCATGGTAACAAATCGTTGCATAAAATCTAGATATCAGTGACTTTTCTGAGTTGGTTCCATTTGTTTCATTGTTGTTTCATTGCATTGTCATGCGTAGACTTCGCAGACTCGCTAATTTCACTCAACTTTCCGAGCTTGAGAAGGGTCGGATAATTGGGTTAGGTGAAGACGGATTTTCTTTTAGAGGATTCGCTAATCGGGTAAATCGAAACGAAGCTACTGTAATGAGATGTTGTCGAGCGTGGTCCCAATAAGGCCGAAATCGTCGAGTTAGAGATACTGGACGTCAAAGACAGACTACATGGTGGCAGGATCGTTATTTGAGGCAACTAACACTTAGAGATCGCGCAGTTGCGAACCAGTGATCTGATGTTGTCGGAAAGGCAATAACAATGACGACAGTTTATCGCCGAATAATGTCTTTTGGACTGATTTCATACAGTCCCCATCTTGGGGGGATCTCTGACCCCATAGCATCATCGGCAACAATTGGTATGGAGTAGGGAGAGACTTGAATAGAATATGGAATGGAACTCTGTCGTGTTCAGCGATAAGTCCAGATTCTGTTTGAGCACACATGATGGCCGTGCAAGAGTAAGGAGGAGACGTGGTGAAAGACATCAAACGGCATATTCATCGCACTGTAGGTATTATGGTATGGAGTGCCGTCGCTTACGGCAGAAGGTCACGATTAGTGTTCATTCGAGGTAGCATGACTGCCCAACGCTATATCCACATCTGCCTTCCCTTTTGTAAACATTGCAAGATCCAATTTTTCATCAGAACAATGCACGACCTCATGTGACGCGTGATAGTTTAGACTTTTTAGAAGAATCAGGAGAAAATCTGTTTAAGTGGCCTCCCCGATCTCCAGACCTTTCCCCAATCAAACATGTAATTCACCGCTCCATCAACAAACATTTTAGGCTCTACGGAACCAAATTCCGATGACCTGGGATACAATACACCAATCACATAATCCAATCAATACCGCGACGACTTCACGAATGTGTAGCGAACAGAGGAGCTTCAACACATTATTAACATTAAGGTGGGATATCTCAGCTAATTTGCGAAATTTTGGGTTAAAATTTGAATCACTTTCTATTCATCAGTAGATCTAGAATTTGTAAAAGTATGCTTTTCCAGCACTCCTACTCGGTGTTGCATTTCCTGTCTCATTTAGTATAATTTCGTTGTAAAAGCGCTTATTACAGTTTTTTCTCCAAAAGGGCCGATTTTTGGCTAATCGGCGTATGCTATATTGAGCTGGTTCAAACTTCTCTCCAATTCTTCCTGCAAGATATTTCTCACCCTGTCTTCCGATATTCCCACGACCTCAGCTTACACACCTTCACATGCCTATTGTCCAACACGATATCCCTGACCTTTTCAATGGTTTCAGTTCAAGTAGTTGCGATCTTTGGACATAGGATAACGATTAAGTTCAGCTGCTTATATTCCAACAATAATTGAAGTCGGAGGAGCAGAGTCCTTGTAACCTGTTAACTTTGGAAGAATTTCCTTAGCAGTCAATCTATCCAAAACGAAAGATTTAATATCTGAACGACCGACATTCAAGTCTATCTGTTACCGGACAAACCCGGTTTTAGGATAAACTAGTTTTTCCTCGCCCAAATCAGTGTATCCGAGGAGCGATAGGATGAATTAATTTATCTTAGTCTAAACTGATTTATCCTAAAATCAATTAAGTATGATTAGACAATACTGATTTGTCCTGTTCAACATCCAGCCTCTTCACAAAAGTAATGTCTTTACTACTAATTGAAGAAAATATTATTACAAACATAATAATAATAATAATATTTATTCGCCAAAATACAAAAAATGGGCAAATAAATATGAAAAAACCACAGAAGGCATCGCCTGTGTGTGGTTTATATCTTAATAACTAACAATCAATCATATATGTGTATAACAATTATTGTTAAATCTAAAAAGTATTAATGTAATTGGAACTTTGTAGTTTTAGTTTTCTATATAATTATGTAGTCATTCGTTGCACAGTACTAACCCAGTCTTTGAATTTTCGTCTAAATTTTTTTCCAAAATTAGGTATTTTTATTTCGTTTGGTAGTACATTATATAATGTAGCTGCTAAAAATTTAAATGATTTTGTGTGGTCTTTGGATATTAGATGAGCCTATTCGAAATCGTGTGTTATGCCTCGTCCTAACTGGCAGCATTCGTGCGAAGAGATTCGTACGAAATATTCGCGCGAAGAAACCGACTTTCGCGCGAGCATTTTGGGTGTCCTTATTTACCTGCGAAAAGAACGTATCAAGGAGAGGACTAGACGTTCGTACGACAAAACTTCTACATTCATTTGCGAGATGGACAGCGAAGATGAAGCCACGTTTTTGTTTTCCCGGAATGTTTATTTCCAATCATTGATGTTTCCCAACCCACCCAGAAAACGGCAATCTGCTAAGGTTATATGGAAAGATCGTTGCATGCATGGAGAATTTCATCATCTTTATCCCCAACTGTGTGATGACGAGGAACTGTTTTTCGAGTATGCTGCAATGTCCAAATCAACGTTCGATTACACCTGCAATGAAATACCCGATGAATGCACCCACCAGGTCTCCAACTTTAAACAACCGATAAGCGTGGAAGAAAGACTGATGTTAACCATACAGTAAGTTCTTATCAATGTATTACAGTAAATAGTAAATATAGTGAAAGTAGTAAAGTTTATTAAAAAAATACAAAAGTTAACAAAAAACACGTAGCTGGAAATCTTAAATAGAATACAATGTTTGATCATCGACTATAGCGATAGAGGCATTTTTAATGGGTATTGAGGCATCTCGTGAGATATTGTCGAGGTTATCCCGAGGCTGAATACAGTCGGATGAAACTTGGAATTCTGAAAAGCGGTGTGAGGAAAGAACGATGTTATGATCAGAAACAGGCGACGCTGCCATTTCATCAGCAATCAGGTTTTGAATTTTACTTTTCAATCTCAGCTTTTGAATAGGGTGAAGAGTTTTCAGATAAGGAACCAAGGACTTAGCAAATAGCATATCCTCATCATCAACCATTCTACTTCTCTCTTTGAAAGCTGCGATTTTCTTTTCTTCGACCTCCAAAATTTGCCTCTGGAAGCCCGTAATGACGGCCGCCGATGGCGATGGTTTCCTTTTCTTATTTGGTTGTTTTTCATTACGTCGGAGAATAGTATCAACATTTGTAACTCTTGACTGTGATGGTAGTGATGCCAGTAAAGTCTGGGATGAAGATGTGCCACTGGATTGTTCAAATAGTTGGCGAATTTCTACTGTATCCGTAGGCTGCGTTATGTAACAGTTTGTCTCTGTAAACTGTGGTGCTGACTCGCAAAATGGGGTACCATGCTCTTGCGAGGAGGGCGTTTGTGCGTTTCTCGTCCCCTCTGGTAGAATATCTTGTTCTGCAGAGTTCGCCTCACTTTCTTGGGACTCTTCAGGGCAGTTGCCTTCAGTTTCACGAGGTTTCATGACGTCTTTTAGGAACCATAAATCGTTGAAATACACCCACTTCCCGGTGTAATTAGTGAGAGTTGGACTACCTGGATCACCCGAACGGTGAACAGTAATTTTTTTCAGTTCCTTTTGGAAAGTATCCCTTAAATTTCTCCATTTGGTCTTCACCACTTCTCCTGTAAAAAAACCTATAAGCAGCCACAATACTAATAATAATCAATTTTATATAAAGTGAATAAAGCATAGAGTCATTTATATATCTGTTTCGTGTTCTTTCTTCCAGGTTTCTGGTGACTGGAATTTCTTTTCGAAAAATTTCGTTCACATACAGGATTTCAAGAACAGCGGTTGCAAACATCGTGATCGAAGTTTGTAAAGCCATTTGGAAGAAGTTACACAACAAGCACATGAAGTTTCCCAGTACAGAAGATTTCAAAGCTATTGCTGCCTCATACAGTGAAAAGGGGAAATTTCCGCATTGCTGTGGGAGCATCGACGGAAAGCATATCCGTGTGAAAAAGCCACGGAAATCAGGAAGCATGTTTTACAACTATAAAGGTTTTTTTTTCAATTGTGCTCCTGGCTGTGTCTGATTCAGATTATAAATTCCGAATCATCGACGTGGGGGCATACGGAAAAGACAGCGACGGAGGTGTGTTGAGTAACTCCATATTTTTCAAAAAATTCGTAGACGGTACATATAAGTTACCTTCAGAAGAACGAATTAGAAATTCGAACATAATCGCCCCCTACGTGTTTTTGGCGGATGAAGCGTTCCCGCTAACCACTTTTATCATGAGGCCATTTCCACGAAGAACATCACATGGAGACGAGGTTAAAACTTTATTCAATAAAAAATTATCTGCTTCTAGAGCAACAGTAGAATGCTCTTTTGGAATAGCTGCCGCCAAGTTTCGAATTTTGAATAAGCCGATAGAGACGTCCGTCAACAATGCTACCGCAATTGTTAA